TAGAATACGACAACTTCATCCCTAATAGAGGAAATTATATATAGTAGAAGTTAATTATGTAAGTGAAAGGATCTAAACTGCACAATGCCATTTCAATACTTAACAGTACAAGAAGCAAGGAATAAGAAAGAAAAACACACACGCTAAGAAAATACGTTGTTATGTACCACAGGTTTAATTGCGCATATAGATTCATATAGTATGCTATTTTGACTTACTGTCACTCTGATTTCGCTTGCTGCAGATTGCCCTCAAGTCGGGCGGTGGGGGGGGAGGGGGCGGGGGGGGGGGGGGTTGGCAGAGAGACTCTTTCTTTTCACCTTAAAGTGGCGTCCATTTGTCAACAAAAACAGTGATAGTTCATGGGGTGCATCCACAGTATATCATATATGCATTTGTTCACATGTAACAAAATTCAGGAGTTCCACCATGAAATTAATTAATTTGAAAAGTTTAGGATAAGAGGCAAGATTCTAATAGTTTCCCCCTCCCCTAGCGTGTATTTCTTTTAGTCTCTCTATAATAATAAGTGAAACAGTATGACGATTAATTAGGATAGTAGATTGCGTCAATTTGATGCATAATGATGGTTTATATATGTACATCTTACATGAGCACATGAATATTATAACATAATTAACACATGTAGGATGTGCATATACGAGAAAGTGTTCTTAACAAGCCAAATATGTATTTTTCGTATAAGGTACGATTTATCTCATTTTTTGCATGTGTTTATTTATATGCTTTCCCTTCACACTCTCCTCGGTGTCCCAAGAGTGTAAACATAAATTGTTTCAAAAGTAAAAATTGATGGAACCCAGCTGCTATAAAATGCTGAAGATCGATCGACTGAATAAAACATCACATAATTGCCTTGTAGCGTGCTCATAATAAAGGCAAATTATATACTCAAATGGAGCTCTTTAATCTTATCGTTGTTGATTGTATCTCGAGTAAAATGGGATTAATATCATTGACACTAGGGGTGTTAAATGATCGAATCGAATCGAATACTAAAGTGTTCATGTTTGTATTTGTTTAAAATTATCGAATTCGAATGCGGACTCTAATATTCATATATCTAGTTTTTCGAATTCGAACTCGAATACTTGGTATTTGATAAATATTCATGAATATTCACGAATACTTAATATCAAAGTATATTTATTTTGCTAAAGAGTTTGATTTTCAAATAGTATTAAAATTCATAAATAAAAATTATTCCTTTATAATATATGATGTATATATATTTAAATTAAAATTTTAATTAGAAAACAAATTTAAGATTATTTAAGTCTTAAAATCAATATATAAAACTTAAGTAGAAATGGTAAGTGTGTTAAAAATATGACATCATATGTGCAATAATACAAATAATAAGCTGTGATCAAAATTTAAACGAATATTTAATAGACAAACGAATCGAATATACATCTGGTTAAATTCTATTCGTTAATAAACTCGAATACAAAAAAAAATATTTTTTTAGTGATAAATGAACTATTGAATCAAATATGACCGAATAGTTATTCGAACAATTATCGAACTATTTATTAATTATTTGGTTCATTTCCACCCCTAATTGACATAAATAGAATTTGAGTACCCGGGAAATATAATTAAAACTACATGTTCCATACTATACCATATTCTAAGTGATTATTTTTTATCTAACTAGATGTTTTTCTTTGACCACTTAATCTCTAGCAAATTATGACTGCACACTACACAACCAACTAAAATAGTTTCTTAATTTGATATAATCTCTACGAGAAAGCTTGAGCCTGTATACTTTTTTTTATTGGCAACTAGTGTTTCGATGCATGCGATACGTGCATGACACAAAATGTGGGATAGATATTATTTTTACTGTATTTTTGTTGGTTTTTATTTTTTTGGATTTCACCAAGTTTAAGGTTACTTTTGTGTTTTTTTCCCCAAGTGGGTAGACATTCTTCTTTATTTTGTTACGTGCAAGAGCACTTTCGTTGATTTTTTTTAAGTGTGAGGACATTTAGAATTTTTTTGGGATGTAAGAACATTTTCAAATTTCTTAAAAGTGTGGTTCACAATGACAACAAATGTGGGTTTCTCAATATATAGTATAGTTTACGGCTATTTTTGTGTTTTTTTCCAAGTGGGTAGACATTCTTTTTTATTTTGTTAGGTGCAAAAGCATTTTTCATAGATTTGTTTTGTAAGTGTGAGGACATATTAGAATTTTTTTTCAGATGTAAGGGCATTTTAAAATTTCTAAAAGTGTGGCTCAAAATGACTAAAAAGGGAGTTTTTTTTAATATACCGTACAGATAGATATAGATGAGGGAAGCTTGGCTTGGGGACTCCCACTCCTAACGGAGCCCGAATACTAGCTGGAGGACTCAATTCTTTCAATAAACCCCCCAAAAGTTAAGGTCCACCTCAAATCTATCTCAATTCTAAGAAAACCTCCGAAGTATTTGACAACAATCTTTTAAGTGGAGATACAATGAAAGATATCTAAACCTTCAAGTAACATGTTTTCAAAAATCAAATCCTCCGTTCATCTCAAAGGGAAAAAGTAGGTGCTTAAAATCAGTGGCAGAGCCAGGTGACGCTTGTTCTGGGCATAAATTGTGCTTTTAACAAGTAGGAGTGGTCTCGTATGCAGATCCTAAGGTGGTGGCGGTGGTGGTCCTAGACAGAATAGCGGTTGAGAACGAGACTTAGGGCTAAGAAATGAGAGAGTGAGAGAGTCTAGGGAAGGAGAAAGGGAGAGATAGTCAATTGAAAGAAAAGTGAACTTATAGCTTGAGACCACCTTTATTTTTCGCCCAGGGCAAAAAATAATCCTGCCTACGCCACTGCTTAAAATCATATGTAAAATTATATGACCTAAAGCTCCGAGCAGAATCTCAATAACATATTTGTAGTTATACAAGGAAGTATTCTGAAATAAAGGTAAATATTAATTAATCTACTAAAATTGTGAAAGATCCACAAAACATTAAATTACAAAGTATTAAATTACACTGAATCCATCTCACATTATGTGCAGAAATTATCCGACTACCTTGTAATATATAGGATCCATATATTTGAATATTCTCTTTACATAACTAACCATGAATACTAGATGATTGATTACATAAACTGGACCAAATTTATTCCAACATGATTACAAGAGAATCCTTCATAAGTTCTCTAACTAGATCTTAACGCCCCGCCTTAAATTAAGAGTTGAACCAAGATAAAATTACTGATTCTTTAAATAAATAATTTGCAGCTAACAAATTGGGCCCTGTCAGTATGCTCCAAGTTATAATTATAACAGGTAGTTGCTCCATAACGAAGGCGATAAATCAGTGACCACATTTTGACTCCACAACATGGAAGCTGGAATAAAAAGATTAATTATGAGAATGAATTGATGCAAAATTTATATCCACGTGCAAAAAAGATTGGTCCAACCCGCAAAAAATCCGGCGCGTAATTGAAAACAGATTTAGGATTATAAGAGTATCTTAAAAAAAAATCACTATAGTTAGAAAATAACCTGCATGAGGAAAAAAAGAATCCGCTAAAATTTTGCAAGCACTGCAGCTACAATAAAACACGTGACAAAATAACAACAAAGGTACAGAAGGTCCAGCTTCCCTTCTTAGGGCTCTGATGGTTTGGTTAGCTGCTGAGCTTTCTTTTATGCCCTGCTTGGATGGAGGGTAGAGAGGGGGAGGGGAAGAGAAATACAGCTTTCAACTTGTTTGGGAGTTTTTTTAAGGAGGGTAGAGAGGAGGAAGGAAGGGGAACGGAGGGTAAAATTACTTGGTCCCCCCCCCCCCCCCCCGATTTGGACGGTAGAGGAGGGTAAAGGGGTGTAATGACATTCTTACCCCCATCAAAACAAATAAAAGAGTTGATGTGTTATTAGTATAAAGTCATTTATGTAAATTTACATATATTTACTTCCGTTCACCTTCATTCACCTTACTCAACTCCCAACATATTACAATTCTCTTCCATTTCCTTCCCTTCCCTTCCCTTCCCGTTGTTTACCTTTCCTTCCCTTCCCTTATGGCCTGTTTGGATGGAGGGTAGAGAGGGGGAAGGGAAGGGAAATTTCATTTTAACCTTGTTTGGGAGTTTTATTTTGGAGGGTAGAGGAGGTGAATGGAGGGGAAATTTGGCCCAAATTCTTACACCCCAAATTGGGGTGTAATGGAGGGTAAGGGAAGGAAGGGGAAAAATCCCCCTTCCTTCCCCTTCCTTCCCTTCCCTAAGTAAACTCCCAAACACACCATTAGTAAACTCCCAAACACACCATTAATAAAATATCAATTTTAACCAATTACACGACTTAGCCCAAATTTATACGACTCCTGAGCTGCAATAAATTATTTTAACAGGGCTCCGTTGCAAAACCAAAGATCCACGTATAAAGGAAAAGCGAATCTTTTCAGCCAGCACAAAATCTGACGCTAATTTCCATTTGCGAAAACACTAAAATAAATAATAATTGAGAGCTTTTTTATATTGGTTCCTTTGCATCTTTAATATTTTAGATCTAGTCTCTCAAATTAGCGAAATTTCTATTTTAGTTTCTCAAATACTACCAGTTATGCCAAATTAGTCTCTATCATTCGGTTTGGTATACGAGGAATACGCCGTTTAATAAATCTTTTTCATGGATATTCAATTATACCAGATTTTTTTTTTGTAGACATATGAGAATTCGAAGACCGATTTAAACCTGCTTACACTCACTTCTTTTAATAAATTTTTTTTTCAAAATTTAAGAAGCGAAAACAGTGCTTGAGTGTAGAAATAAGTTCACCGCGTAAGATTAGAATCCGTTCTAACCTGAGTAAGCACTTCGGAAGGAATAACTAGGGGAGGAACTAGATTTAACCGCAGATAATATATTTGGGGTGGGGGGGGCTAACGACAATTCCGATGGATGCAATGGTTTTGAGTGACTAATTTCGAAGATGTGAGGGTCCGTGCCGATAAAGTCCAAACGCTAAAAAAGAACCCCCAAAGCTACTACACCCGGCAGACAAAGGAGATGCGCACCCCACGCGCATCCTAATGCAGAGCCCTTCACTCCCTCCTCTCTCTCTCTCTCTCTGTCGCTAAACTTTTCCGTGTGTAACCCTCTTTCTCTCTCACTCGAGCCCGCATCTTCCCCCTCTTTCCCCGCCTCCTTCCTCTCTCTTTTCAATTTCTAGAAATCCTCCCCAAAAGCGCGCGCAACTCCTCCCCACCCCCGCCCCCCCAAAACCCTAACACCTAGCTCGCCCTCTCTCTCTATATGCCATGAATCTGTGGACTGACGACAACGCATCCGTGATGGAGGCCTTCATGACCTCCTCGACCTCCACAGCCCCTTCCCCTCCTGGGCCCCATCCCCCGCTCCCGCCGCCGCCGACGCCGCCGCCGTCACCACCACCACCACCTACCTCAACCAAGAAACGATCCAGAGCCGCCTCCAGACCCTGATCGAGGGCGCTCCCCGAGAGCTGGACCTACGCCATCTTCTGGCAGTCCTCTCCGTCGACGTGGGCACCGGCGCCTCCATCCTTCATCTGGGCGACGGATACTACAAGGGCGACGGCAAGGGCCAGTCCTCCGCCTCCACCGCCGCGAGCAGGAGCCACGCAAGCGCATCCTCCGCGAGTCAACTCCCTCATCACCGGCCCCGCCGACGCCGGATCCGACGACCCCGACGAGGAGGTCCCGACACGAGTGGGTTCTTCTCGTCTCCATGACCCAGTCCATCCGCAACGGCGAGGGCGTCCCCGGACGGGCCTTCTGCTCCGGCGTCGCCCAGTGGATCGACGGCCGCGACAAGCTCGCCATCACCGACTGCGACCGCCGCTCGGCAGGCCCAGCAGTTTGGGATGCAGACCTGCGTCTGCGTTCCTGTCGGCAGCGGCCTTCTTGAGCTCGTCTACCATCTCATCTTTCAGAGCCTCGTGATCTTGAATAGGATCAAGCACCTGTTTCAATTTCAACGGTTCGATCCTACTTGGATCCAGCCCAGGCGGCGGTGGATCATTGGGAGACCGATCCGGCGGTGATGTGGATCACGGATCCGTCCGTGACGGAGATCAAGGATTTCGGTGTCGCCCGCATCGGCGACCGTCACCTCTGTTACAGTTAATGGCGGCGACGTCTCCGTTTCGAAACCGCGCCGGCGGTCCAATTCGATCACCACCATCATCATAATACAAGTCGGGCAGCTCGATCCCCTCAGTTTCAACATCATCATCAGTTCAACAGCAGCAACCACCGTCCTCGAGCCAGCAGCAGCAGCAGCAGCAGCAGAGCCAAACGGGGGTTTCTTCCGCTAATGCGCCGCCGCCGGCTCAGTCTTCTTTCGCAAAGGAGCTTAATTTCTCAGTTACGCCCTGAACAACCCCGCCGGTCCTCAATTGTTCAAGCCCGAATCTGTGGATATCCTCAATTTCGGCGAGAGCAAGAGGAATTCCTCGTCTCCGGCCCCAAACCCTAGCATTTTCTCCCATCATCATCACCATCAGATCCCATCCGACGACAAGAGGCCCAACAAGAGGCCGACGACCGCGACTTCGAGAGGAAGCAACAACGACGAGGGGATGCTCTCTTTCTCCTCCGCCCCAACCCAACCAAAATCCAGCGGGGTCCTCACCGTCACTACCGTCGGCGACGACGCCGATTCCGACCATTCGGATCTCGAGGCATCGATTCATTGGGAAGAAGGGTCGGAAGAGCAGCAGAGTCGTGAGGCCGCAGCCCCGAGAACCGAGGGCGAGGAAGCGGGGCGGAAAGGCCCGGTAAACTGGTTCCAGTGGAGGAGCACGGCACTTGAACACATCGAAGCTGACGAGCGTCGCTCAGCGGCGGGTAGGCGAGAGTAGCTGAACAAATACTTGAGTTTTCTACGCCCTAGCGAGCGTAGTCCCCAGTCCTTCGAAAATGGACAAGCTTTCCCTCCTCGGGGACCGATCTCCTACATTAACGAGCTCGGTCCAAGAATCCATCGTGGAGGTCGACAACGAGGGGGTTTAAGAAGCCAAGTCGAAGTCTCCAGAGATGAACAAGGATTCGCGGTCTGGCCGTCTCCCTCACCCCCGGAACCCGATATGAAGAGGATCAACGGCGGCGGAACGGAAGATGCCACGGATTGGAAATCGAGGTCAAGTTGATAACAATGGAGGCGATGATCCGAGTACAGAGTGTAAAGAGGAATCACCCGGCAGCGAGGCTGATGAACGCATTGAAGGATCTTGATCTCGAAGTTCATTACGCCAGTGTTTCAGTGGTGAAGGATTTGATGTTGCAGCAGGCGACGGTGAAGATGACGAATCGGAGTTACACGCAAGAGCAGCTCACCGCTGCCCTCTATTCTCGCCTCGCCGGGGGTCTCAGCAACAGCAGCGGCAGCAGTAGGTAGTTCGATTACGGTAGTAGCAAGGCTTGAGATTTTGGTCGTATTATTCTGTAAAATTTAAGACTTTTTAAGATATTTATGTGAACTATCATCCCCTATTGGTCGTGTTTAGATTTTGGGACGTTGTTTGAAGAGTGTTAGCTTGTGTTTTCGGTAAGTGATCATAATCTTGTAAATTTGTATAGCTAATGCTTTGCGCAAGTGCGGTGAGCTTCCGATCAGCCAACGCGATCTTAATTATAGCGTTTAATATTAATTGCTTTCGCTGCTGCGTTTATTTAATTTATTTATTTATTTATTTTGCTTGGTTCTTGATCTGGATTTCGGCAAAGCTAAATTCTCATGCTGCTCCTTTCTGAACGGTGATAAACGTGATTGAAAATGTCTCCTCCGTGTCGTAATCATTGTAGAAACGCCGGACGTATATACCAGAAACTTTTATTGGGGTTAGATTCGATGCAATCTATTCGATAGAAACAAGTGATAAATATCTCTCGAGTGGTATTGCAGGCCGATTTGTACTACTTGATCCACCGAAGTTTGTTTTTTTCTACATGTAATTAAAATGAAAAATTCTTTAAGGACCCAAAATATGGGACCAATAGGGGGGACAAGTGAGGTGTCCCCCTTCTATTGGATAACGAGTTGGCCATCATTAATGATGATCAACTCATTATCCAATAGGAGGGGGACACCTCACTTGTCCCCTCTATTGGTCCCATATTTTGGGTCCCTGTAGCAAAGCTCAATTAAAATAGGGCTTTTGTTTGCTACTCCATTTTATTAAGCTACCGCATCCTTAGGGGAGTGTGAGTCCAGAGATTCGATCCAATCCACGAGTAGAGATGCATACGTTTCTCCCTCCGCTGCGGCTAGTGAGTATATAAATGCTGAATTTAGATCCAAAATCTCAAAGACGTAGAATTTATGAAATTTAGATCCGCAACGGTTTGCCTTCTTAGTGTTCGAAACATCTCATTGCTGCCGCCACCTTCGTTATTATTAATTTTTTTTTTTTGCGTTTGCTCCGAATTAAACTAGTTAGCCGTGACTGGTCGCAGTCCATTTCTGGACTATAGATTAAGAAAAGGGAGAAGTGAGGCTTTGTTATCCAATAGGAGGGGGACACCTCACTTGTCCCCTCTATTGGTCCCATATTTTGGGTCCCTGTAGCAAAGCTCAATTAAAATAGGGCTTTTGTTTGCTACTCCATTTTATTAAGCTACCGCATCCTTAGGGGAGTGTGAGTCCAGAGATTCGATCCAATCCACGAGTAGAGATGCATACGTTTCTCCCTCCGCTGCGGCTAGTGAGTATATAAATGCTGAATTTAGATCCAAAATCTCAAAGACGTAGAATTTATGAAATTTAGATCCGCAACGGTTTGCCTTCTTAGTGTTCGAAACATCTCATTGCTGCCGCCACCTTCGTTATTATTAATTTTTTTTTTTTGCGTTTGCTCCGAATTAAACTAGTTAGCCGTGACTGGTCGCAGTCCATTTCTGGACTATAGATTAAGAAAAGGGAGAAGTGAGGCTTTGATCGAAATTCCCAGTTTCGGTCCGTTCTTGAAACCGTTGGGCGACAGTTGTCACCGGTCTCGGATCGGGGTTAAGTGAACGAGGAAAGCTTTGCCTCTCAAATCTCGACTATCACGTGCAGAGCATGTAGAAGGGAGAGAGAGAGAGAGAGAGAGAGAGAGAGAAGAAACGTGTCAAGTGAGGGGCAAAGGGCTGCTAGTGATAGCAGGATGCCAAACTAGCGGACAACAACACTTGGCATCACAGGGAGGGTGAGGGCTGTGGCTGATATTTGATTCCACGCACATGGTTCTCGTTGGTTGCGTTCCCCTCGCATGGCGACGTGGCGGAATGGTGGCCAGTGGATGAGATCGTATTGTATTGTGCGTGTCATGTGTGCGTATGGTGACGTGGCGGAACGGTGCAGTTTCAGGCTGCCGTCCCAAAAATGAATTCTTAGAAAAAAAAAATCGAAAAAAACTCAACAAATTAAAAAAAAAAGTACTGTCTGGAATATGGAGGTTGGTACTCATGAGTTTTACATGAAGGGGTTGTTCGGTTAATTTCTCAAAAAAAGGGAAAAGTTCAATTCCAACAAATAAATAAGACCCTCAACTCTTTCAATCATGTTAGGTTTTGAGTTTATTTCGGACCTAAAAATTTAGAAATTGATTTTCTTACTTAGTGTACCTATCTCTCAGCTTTAGAGGAAGTTTCCTCTTTTCTGATTGCCAACCAAACAATAAAAACAAAAAAATATAAAACAAAAATATCTGACATGATATTTCTTGGAAACTCTTTTGTAAGATTTAGTTTCAACCAAACAGCCCTATACAAGAAATGACCATTGACGATAGAAGTTCTACTCCTACGGAAAAATTTCAACCAAACAGCCCTATACAAAAATATCCTCCACTCATTCAAATGGGGGGACCACATTCACATGGGTTGAATGTGGTCCCCCAATTGAATGAGTTATATAAACATAATATACATTCTATTTTTGCTAGATCAGTCCATACTTCGATGAATAGTGAATCAATAATTGAATATTTCAAGAAATAAATAGGAAACTTAAGATTAAGTTGCTCTAGAATGGAAATGAGGGAATGTCCACAATACATGGATTTAGTCATATTCAATTTGAGGCGTTTTGTAAGTTCATTAATCAGGACTAGGCAGAAAAATTTCATAAGTTTCCAAATTTGAAGATAGAGATCAAGAAATGGAATTTTAATTATTTGTGTAAAGATATCAATTGGTAGAGCCCCTGATAGACGAAATAGATGTTGTGTATGAATCACTCACATATTCTTTTGAATTATATGTCCCTACAATATTAATTTGTAAAACTGGTAGAGATATGCAACAACAAACCATTTTTACTGGAAACAATTCCTCGAATGAATTCCCTAGGAACATTTATAGTAAATGGAATATACAAAATTGTGATCAATCAAATATCACAAAGTCCCGGTATTTACTATCGTTCGGAATTGAATCATAACAGAACTTTTGTCTGTAGCAATACTATAATATCAGATTGGGGAGGAAGATTGAAATTAGAAATTGATAGAAGAACAAGGATATGGGCACGTGTAAGTAGAAATTTTAGATAATGTTTGTTACCTTGAAATTTTCTTGTCTTGCTCGAATGATAAGGAGAAAGAAAAAAGATTGAATCAAAACAAAATGCTATTTTAGAGTTTTATCAACAATTTGCTTGTATAGGTGGGCGTTGGGTATTTTCAGAGTTCTTGTGTAAGGAATTACAAAGAATTTTTTTCAACAAAGATGTGAATTGGGAAGGATTGGTCGACGAAATATAAATCGGAGACTGAATCTTTATATACATCCGAACAATACATTTTTGTTACCACGAGATCTATTGTTGCTGTGGATTATTTGATTAGAATCAAATTTGGAATGGGTACACTTGACGATATGAATCACTTGAAAAATAAACGTATTTTTCAATTCACTAACTCTTGATGGGCTTTAAACAAAACGTAGGAATCACTTTTAACTCGAAAAGTACAACTATTAGGTATTGACCCAACTACTATTTTAAACATATCACTCTTTTTTATCATATCCGATGTTGGACTATACTCACATACTAATAAGCTCAACAACTTCCTCTTAATTTGTGAGTATAGTTCAATTTTCAACTACATTGTGTAATCTTCCACGGAATTTATTAAATTTTACACCACTTCACTTGTGCGCTAACCAATTCACTAACTCTTGCATTACTTCACAGTAGGCTAATTAGATTATGCACTCAGCACGTGGCTATTAAACATTTGTAAGAGTTTCCACCACTTCACTCATGGTGGCTAAACAAACTACATCACTCCTATGGGCATCCGTTGTTTCTTCCAACACCTTCAGGCTTCACATTGAACTTCATCTTTTTTTTTCTTTTGTAAATTACTTTGACTATAACCTTAGCTCTAATACAATTTATTGTGAATGTAGTTGACATTATATCCCAAAAAAAGACTTCAACTTTTTTTTTTCAGGATTATGCGGAAAAACTTAACTTGATGGCAAAATAAGCAAATTACAAATGAAGAGAGAGGAGCAGCTGCAATCCTTCTAGGTATTGTGTTCCCGACTCTCACAATACCAATGCTTAATTTCCACGTTATTATTTGTCCATACCACATGGACCTCCAACTTACTTGACGACTTATTCATATTTCTATTAGCAACTGTATGTGTGGGAAAATTAAGAATTGAGTCTGTATTAATCTCTCTAACTGACTTAAAAAAAGAATGATTACAATCCTCTCAATATAACTTTTCTCTGACTGACTTAGAAAAAGAAACTATAATTCTCTTTATCGGTTCCCCGATTTACAAAAAAGGGAAGGATGAAACTCTCTCTTTGTTTAAAATTGGGTTCTTTCTTTGTGGCGATGGGGGTTTGAATCTTGTATCTCGTTGATGATCCGAACACTTCAACTTCGTGGGACGTCGGTCCTCTCTCCTCGACTTGACGTCTTGAGAGAACTTGTAAGGCAAGTTTATAACTCTAATCAAGTTTTGAGAACTCTCTGTAAGAGTGTTAAGAACTTGCAAAACTCTAGTCGAGTTTTGAAAACTCATGGTCATGACAAATTATTCACGTTTGGGATCTGGAACGCATGACGACCTCTGTGTTTGGGATCTGGAAGCAAAAGACGACCTCTGCATTTGAGCTTGGCAACACGGGGTGAACCCTGCGTTTTTCCTTGGAAGTGCAGAGTGACCCCTGCGTTTGAGCTTCTGGGACGCGAAAGAGGGTTTCCGCGTTTCGATTTATAGAGATCGTCAATTGTAATATCTTTTCTTCAACTTTTGTGCAGATTGTCATCTTGTAACCTTTACACTTGGCCCTTGTGGAATGTGAGAGTCGTCAATTTGTAACTCTCGCACATTGTTGTGAAAGTCTTTACATTGTAACTTTTATCGACTGTTGCGAATGTCGTCAGATTGTAACTTCTGCTTGTTGATGTGAAGGACATCAGATTGTATCTTTCATCATCTATTGTTTTGTGGGGATCAACTATCTGCTGTAATATATTTTTAGACAGTCGACACCAACTCTCTCCATTTGTTGGGATTTTTAGATCTTGTAAAAATCTCGAAAACCACCAAATGCAGCAAATAGAACATACAAGATTTAACGTGGAAAACCCTTAACATGGAAAAACTATAGGATCGAAAACAATCCACTATCACCTCTAAATTATAATATTTGGACGAAGACTGCCA